AAATGCTTTACAAATGTTTTACAGCTAGCAAAAAAAACTTACATGTTACAACTACATGTATTTTGCTAGCTTGACCATGACATTGATCTATTGTTTATATTGTGTACAAATCACGAGGCAATCATATCATTCTTGTACTGTTGCATTGTTTTCATCTATACTTTGGCAACACATTTTTTAAGGAGAATATATTTCGTTGTTACTTCAAGTTGATCATTTGTAACACAGGTGAGCGCTGCTGTCACTAAATTGTTCAGGTATCTAACAGTTGCAAAGTAATGCCTTCTTTGGGAAAAAAAACGAAAAATAAATAAATAAAAAAATAAAAACTCGACAGAAAACAGTAGTTTGTTCTGAAATATTGTCATTTAAAACATTATGTACACTTTCGATTCTAATTTGAATCTTCTAAAATCGGATTTAGCTAAGTATATATAGGTTCAAATTTTAGAATTTTACACTGGAATCATGAATAATATATAACTAGATGTAATAGATTATAAACAAGCTTCTATGGCTGAAACAGGTACAAGCATAGAGTACATACTACAGAGATATTTTACTATTTTCCCACGGGCTTCTATTTTTAACCTGTAAGAAAGCATATCTTTTATAAATATATGCCGAATTGTACAGGTATTGTCAGAGGTTACATAAACCATGCGAGCAACTTTGTTTTATATAGGATGAAGAAAAAGCATAATTTAGAACAAGCATATATAACGAGCAATATGTTAAAATGTGTCGATATTTCTCAACAAGGAGCAAAAGGGTTTGTGCATAAACTTGCAATTTCAAAACTATTTACAATGCATATCAAAGATATACTATGCTTATATTTGGGTTAAATACATATATTGCAAACGTGTATTGAAATCTATGAAAAGACTTGCTAGATATGTCTAATTTGAATAAGAGAATGCACAAACTATGCATGGGAAGCTGCATCTCTAGTATCGGTCAAGTTGGTTTGTTTCTTTCTTAAAACACCTCCAGCTTTTGTAATGACACTATATATTTTCTTACTATGATTACCTATAGCATGTTTAAAATGTAACGTATCTTCTCTGGTAAGCACTATTATCAAAAGATGTTTATTTAACATTTTTAAGAGACTGTATAGCAATTATCAACATTTTCAAATATTAAATTTGTACAAGATATATCACTATCTGATGGGTGCATCACATTACTGTTAAAGATGATTCTTTATTAACAATTTCGTTAATACATGTACGACTGTTGGTTACAATGATAATCTTATAGAATCTTCCTTATAACTAGTAAACTATAACAAAAGGAAAACAAGAAGGAAAAGTAAAAACAAAACTATATGAAATACAACATGCAAGTTAAGTAAAAATAAGTTTTGCTATATGGAAGTAGACATTAAGATATTTTCATCTGTTAAAATAAAGAATGGTGACATTGGAGACCATGTAATGTATTTCTAACTACTGAAATTCTGCTGCAATACCAACATATTTCAGAATAGCGCAGACCCGGCCAACGTGATTAATTTGCTAATCTGAAACAAATATCTCTAATTGGAAATTATTTTTTAAACCTTTGCGGAGAATCTTCATTCGTCTGTTACTAAGGCCAAAAACATTACTGCGCATGTCTTAATAGTTTGTCATAGATTATTAGCTATTGATTCATTTTGTTCCGGACTAGCTTTGACATGGAAACCGCCAATTAAATTCCAACAGAAACTAAGATGCTGGTCACGTGACTAGCGGGTGATAATTGTTTTGTTTAAGGTGTTAATGAAGAAGATCAGATGTTACAAGTAACCATATTTAATTATGTGACGGTGTTTACATGATAAACACATGTCATGAAAATTTAATGACCTCCACGATTTATGTTTTGTTGGTCCATAGCAACGCCACAAATTTAGAACAGGCAAAATAATAACATGTTGATTTGTTTTAATTATCAAAAGTTACTGGAGCTCCGCTGAGGTACAAAAGTCTAGAAAAACATGAATTTTTTAATTCTTTTATAGAAAACTTCGGAACTTAGAACGGAAAACGTGCAAAAAATGGTAAAGAAATATTCTCCGAAACAAATCGAAAATAATTCTTTGCCCGATTTGAGTTAGAATCGTTTAAATGTTTTTCATGTTTTGGTCATTTTGCTTAATAGAAAATAGTATCCTATAAAAGAGGAGTAAGCGATAAATGTCGAAATCATATTTCCTGCTCATGCAGTTAAGTATTAAAACCAGTAGAGTCCCTTTAATTTGATATTGTTTTGTCAACTTGTTTTAGAAATAAGAAATACATGTATCTCATCAATATATATGAACATGTTTAAAAATAATGTATCTTATAAACTGTTAGGATTACGTAAAACAAAATAAATAAATTTTAAATATTTCAAAATAATGGCACAATGAATTTCATATTGATTAAGTTGGTTGCATGTATATACACATTTTTAAAATTTCTGAAAATGAATCAAGATTGCTTAGAAAGAAAAAAATGGCCGACATATTGTTTAAATGGTGTATATCCCTGGGTTGAAAGGTCAAACAGGATTGCATGACATGAATTAAGATAAGCATATCTAATCAAATAAATTGAAACAAATTATACAAAATTGCATAAAGTTAATGAAAATAGAAAATCGCAGAATCCTGCAGGCGACAGCGCCACGCAGCTTTAATATTTCTCATTTAAATATAACAAATATGTTGGCATTGGTGATAGAATTTTATCAAGAGTCGATGCGACATCAAGATAAATTTAAATGTAATCAATAAAGATTACACGTAATTACATTTTAATTAATTTTTCTCTACATCCACACATGTGCCTTACAGATAGGGGCGCCGCGGTTTTTTAAAGTAGGAAAGAGCCAAAATCCAATTAATTCTTCGAGAGCTTCTTAACTTTAACAGAGTAAAAGGCAATAGGTTAAGGCCGATATTTTTCACTTTCATATGCGGAATGACACTTAAGCAACAGTCATTTGCGGGAAAGAACATAAATTTGTTTGGGGATATGCTACTATATAAGGTTATACAATATTTGGCTTCGTTATCGTATATATTAAGAAATAAAATAATAATAAAAACACAAAATTTGGAATATGTATTACTATAAGAATATAATGCTTTTGAAGATAATAAAGGGACACTTTCGTTGTTGTTGTTTTTTGTTGTTTTTTTTCATTGAAAATAAGTAAATCGAAATATCCATTTGCCTTGATCATCCAATCAAACCCTGACACCGCTTGGACAAATTATACAAAGTCCCGTATCATAAACATTTCAACATGAACAAAGGTGTATAATGACACTTTTACAATATGTTAAAGTTGATAGTTTGTTACATGTTAAATTAAACTTTATTCCTGATTTATAGTTGATTTGCCCATGTTAAATTCATTTTTTCTGATATTTTTAATGCAATAGTTGCGTGTATGGTCGTATTACAGTGTATTAAAACACTATTTTATGGATATCGTCTGAAATACATGATTTTATCTAACATCATATCGGCATGTTTAATGTAAATTCTCGTTCATTTTACAGAAAGCAAAAACAGTTTTTGTAGTAACTCGTAGTAAATATCTAGAATAGCTTTTTGTAATTCTTGTTCGATTGCCAGAATATAAGGTTCAAGGTTAAGGTGATTATGAAGTTCAAAACGAGGCTGAAAATAAGCACATCAACAGATACTTGAACGCAAGTTTATATTTATCATTGCTATACCATAGTTTTTCTTATATGATAGTAGGAATTATTTGAACGATCACGTGATCACACGAAAATCTGTTTTTTTTACTTCATACTTGATCCCCATCGCGAGAAAATACTTTAAAATGCGCAGAATGATTTGAAATATAAATTTTCAAAGTCATTTTATTTGTCCTGCACGGTTTTCTAAATATTGGTGCATACAATCTATTTGTAAAGTATAGCATAATTTTAATTTTAATAGTTACAATTATATACTTTAATTTAATGAAAAGAATTTACATACACTCTGTGAATAACTGATAAGTTTGTAACAAATAATGCAGTGATATAATATTAATATATTATGTCTAATATTTATGTCAAACTAAATGGTAAATATTTTTTCTGTGCATCAGCCTAATATTTTGACATGTTTCCATGCAAAGGTAAATTGAATTTTGTGAGTAAAAATGGACAAACATTTGAAAATAAAACAAAGATTATTAAGTGCATATCCTTATAAAACCTTTGTACGACAAAGACAGAAAACCTTCATTCGTTTACATAGAAATGTGATGATACCGAACGAAGAAAGAACGTTCATATTTTCTGGGTCTTTCAAATAGTCTATTTGAAAGACCCAGTATTCAGCAAGGAATCGTTTACTTATATGTCGATAGATCAAAATGTTTCAACGTATGAAATACTTCAAAGTGTTCTTTGTACTACAATTAGAGACTTTTATTTGATGATTGACACTATTTTTGTCGTTGTTTGACTGTTATCCGTTCTTGCTATCTACGAGTTAAGGTTGTCGTTGTTATTGGTAATCGCAGCGAACTTTTGAAGCGAAGTTGGTAAAAAACTAGAAACTTATATTTGTGTGACTATTTCGCTAAATGTCTCATCTCATTGAAATCATGTTGTCATGTTGCCATTTTCATTCTGAGTTTTTATAAAGTTAAACTATCAGTAGGACTATCAGTTCCTTTGAAAAGTGTTGCCATTTCCCATTTTTCATTCATTCTCATTTTTATTAAGTAAAGCTTAAACTATCAGTTATTTTGTATGATCCTTAAAATGTAGACTTCGAAACTCGAAAGAACAAACTTGATTAAAAAAAACTATAGATAAATCTAAAAACCGGACACATCCTCACAGGTTATTTCCGACGACACCCGTATTACTTGTAAATTGTATAACTGATGTTGACGCATTACCCGTTGTTTGTGTTACTTTTAATTTATGTTGTGTTGATTCGCAGAACATTTCGCATTCAGAATACAATGTATCTTTATTTCTTTTACAGAGATCGTATACGATCATCGTCGGCGCCTTTGACAAAAGACAACAGTTTTCAGGTATGTTCAATCCAATTTTACAGGAATCATGTTTTGTAAATGCTATCTCACATTGAAGGAAGAAAAAAATCACCAACCGAGCTAGCTGAATATTTTCTTGAAAGCTAATTATCTGATAAAATCAGCCATTACGCAATTGAAAGCGAAACTTCAACAGTATATATTTAATAACCCATAATGCCCTAATCAATATGGCCGCTGCATTCAGGTCTTGTAGGAAATGGCAATTATCATGAAAGGTAAACACCATATGACAGATGATGTCACCAATGACGAATCGATGTGTAATTATTTCTTGCACGGTACACAGGTGATTGGGCCCTATTGTAATGGGCATATCCATCACGTTCTTTATAACATTACAAACAAGAAATGATAGGAAATATTCATTGTGGCATGTTCATATGATACGAAGAAATGAGGCATATGATCGCGTGCTAACATTAACGCCTTGTTAGATTACATTCTGATGTTTTCTGGTGGTTATTGGGTCGTTGTGGGTAATTTATTGTATTGTCAGTGTCTGCAGGACAAATTACAGTTTTTGATTTTTGTTCATGTCTGTTGAATGCAGATTTCTATTGATTTATTTTGTAGTCATCTTAATTCGTTTGAAGTTCTCTGTGATCCAGGCAAATTGCTTGAAAACATAACCAGACCGCAGGACATTTACTACTTTTTTATCTTTTCAATACAAATGTATAGCAATGTTTCTGTAAACTATTTTCATGACCATATTAGCAACATGTTGTTATCAATGAACATACTGAGCGAATTCCCATTTTCAGATTATTTAAAATAATATTTCAGAAATAAACCAAACATTATATTGTTTTGGTCCTAAAACATGAAGAACTTTAGCAATAGGCACTGAACTTGGAATTATGTTATTGGATATGAGTGCCAAATTAATAGATACTTATTACATAAGCAGCTTTCATATTGCCCTATTTGGATAAACAGACAGGACAGAACAGAACAGAAATTTTATTCAAGACTTGTACATGGTACATCATCGTTTAATTTAAATATACTATACAATAGTCACATGGCATTTAATGTACATAAATATAGCTATAGATCTTAACATACATACTGTTAACAATTAAAATATAGATAGAGAATACAACATGAAATATTCTGTTTACTTCCTACATAAAGGATTAACCATTCATTATTACATTTTATAAGACATGGATGTTCTATTATCCATAGCATTTGACAATTGATTCACAAAATAACGTTATGATGTCAAAAATAGTAACAAACATAACATTTAACAATATAATATTTGTAGTTTGCAATGCACTGTTTATTTCGTCAGCTGACAACTGTTTGTAATATTAGATGTTTTATACGTCATAGCTGGAAAAAAATCATTGTTTTCCCAAAAACAAGAAAAAAATGATATTCCGTCACAATTTTGCTATCATTATTTCAGGTGAACGGGTGATTGAGAGGTCCTCACATTCTGGTATAATTCTACCGGGTCCCTCATGGCACACCCTAACACACAATGGACCGACCGCAACTCTCGTTTATAGGTAACATAGTTAATCCATATAAATGTATTTACTCACTTTAATGTTGAACTTTCTGATAATGTAATTTGACTGTACTTTAGATAATATATAGTGAAAAATATACTCAATGCAAATATCATGTATAATATTGTGTTTTCATTTCGTAATTATAATTGTCATGTCTCTATACTAAATTGGTCCTTTTATCTCATAAATAACATATGGTGCTTTTAAGTTTTAGTAGCAGTTTTAGGTGTTTCTTTTATTATTTTATACAGTAATATGCTTTTAATCAAAGTTATATAACTTGGTACTTTTGTGTCAAAATTATAACAAGACGCTTTTATATAATTTTATCTTAATTTTAATATTGTTCTATCTACGTCATAGTTGTTTTCAAGTTGTAATTAACTCTGGTATTGTAAAAAAAATATAATGATAATAATAATTATTATAATTACAATAATAATGATGTTGTCCTAATATTCTAGTAAATAAAATCGGATGTTATTCTGCTATAATTCTTTTGCTTTTAGTGTAATATTGAAATAAAAAATTAATATTTATCAGACGGCATTTATTCAATGTAATTTAACGCTTTATATAAACAAAACATTTACGTAATACTTTTCAAGGGTCTATATGGTTTTTTTAATCAAGGTTAAAGCCATTTTAAATATTTGAAATGGGGAATTAGAAACATTAATGGCGAGGAAAAAACTCGCATACCTTATACTTTATATAGTATTGCTATTGAAAATCTATCATTATGAGTCGTGTCTTTTCCTTTAGAATTCGTGTAAAATGTGACGAGCATTATTACAATACAACGTGTTCCAAGTTTTGTCGTCCGAGGAATGATCGTCTCGGGCATTTCACGTGCAATGTTAATGGTGACAACGTTTGTTTAGAAGGTTGGCTCGGATCAGAATGTGATATTGGTACTTATAGATTTTCTGTAAATATGTTAAGACTAGATATAAAGATTGAAGAAAATTTGAGAAATTGATTGATTATTACAGTGCTGTTGAATAATAATAATAATTTTGTATTAAAAAAGTCACTGTATTAGAAATGTGAAAAGAAAAAAATCAAAATGTTTCATTTAATGGGTTGAAAATGTAAAACTATCATTTATTTTACAGCGATCTGTAAAACGGGATGTCACGCACTACATGGCTCATGTGACCGACCTGGTGAATGCAGGTTAGTATTGTTGAATGTTTAAAGGTAAATATTTGATCCGCGCCATGGCAATACCAACAGAATTCGTTAGTGATCAGCATGGATCCAGACCAGCCTGCGCATCCGCAGGATCTATACTGTTCGCTTACAAACCCTATAACAAGTTGAGAAACTGACAGTAAACAGCACGGATGCGCAGGCTGGTCTGGATCTATGCTGGTCGCAAACGTATTATGTTTGTTTTGTCATGGCGCGGCTTATAATTGACATACAACGTCTTCTATCCAAACAATTGTCTTCAGTATTTAAGTACACAGGAGAAAAAACCTTACTAGATTACTAAAGTACACTCAGAGAATAACGGAGTCGTTGTACATATGTCAGCCTAATAACGCATAAGAAATTTTCTGTGTAATATTAAAAAATTCGGGCAAACTTGCCTTTTTACTTTTTCTAGAAGGATATTACACTGTTCCATTTATTTAATTATTATCAAGCTTATGTACAAGATTATGGTTAAAAAGTCAGTTTTGGCTACAAATATATTAATTTTTTACGAAGCATATACTCAACAAAACCTTTCAAACTAAAGCTTGTAAAATAAACAAAATCGTATTTTTAAAAAAAGTGAGTAAAAGATACATAAATAACGCATAACATACGAGTATTTTCACATTTGTAGGTGTGGTTTTGGTTGGCAAGGTCCGTTGTGTGACCGGTGTATACCATACCCCGGATGTAGACATGGGACATGTAAGGACTCCCCGTGGACGTGCGACTGTGACCTGAACTGGGGTGGTATTCTGTGCGATAAAGGTATCGCCTTTAAACTGTCTTTGCAATTCTTAGTATAATTATCAGAGAAAATAGTCTAATATAGAAACGGGAAAATTGATAAAAGGGAAGTAATACTGTAAAGGAAAATGAGAAATGCTGTATTGGGTGGCTAATCTTACTCTATTTGTAAACCAGCAGCGGACAATTGTGCGCAGATCAGCCCTCTTTAACAAACAAGCACCATTTTGTGTCAACACTTTTATCTTTGTCAAGGTTACCATTCCATACCAATGATTTACATATGATCTGTCTAACTACATATATATAATAAGTCCAGAAATCGGACTTGATCTTAGCACAAAGATCTTTGACAAATAATACATAACACAATGAGTACATAATTATTGTAACGATTTATTTTCAGATTTGAATACATGTCGTCATAGACCTTGCCATAATAACGGACTTTGTGTAAATAACGAACCCGACAACTATACTTGCGTGTGTAACAAGGGGTTTTCAGGAAGAAACTGTGAAATAGGTATATACATACGATATATCATAACTTTATACGAAATAATAATGATAATGATCCTAAAACTAACTTGTTTGTATCTTAGATGAGTCATTGAAGGATTATTTCATTTTAGATCTTATCTATTGTTTCAGTATATGTCTTATAATTGTATATATATCTATATAAACAGGCCCGTTTCAATGACTTGTGTGAAGTCTTTTTATATGTCTATAACTTTATATAAGTTATTTTTAAGTTGGTTCTTTTAAAATAATATAAATGAAAATGTTATTTGTATTTTTGTTACACAGTGGATGACCCGTGTTCATCAAGCCCGTGTAGTCATGCAGGCACGTGCCTCCGCTCCTCACATGGTTTTATATGTAACTGTGCGCCTGGTTGGACCGGAAAAACCTGCAACCATGGTTTGTTTTCTATTTGATATCAAATTAGTTATTCCGTAAACATATTAACATATTACCAGTCTAACATAATACAATTTTACATTAGAGTGTAGCCACATTATAAGTGTAACTACATTGAATCATTTTCTATAAAACATATTTTATGATGACAAGATTATTATGGGCATCATGTCTTTGAATAACACACTTTTTTCACTTTTTTAATCTTTTAATTAAACTGTTTGCAGTACAATAAAAATTTGACATGAGATATGGTCATTTGCTATAATGGTGACATCTTTTATATTTAACTATATATACTGGACCATATATTTTCTTATTAAAAGACGTTGACCTGAATATTTTCATAAAAAGTTACAAAACTATGATTTCGTAAGTGGTTCTTACTGAAAAGTTCGAGTTCTGCTTTACCTATTGAAATGTTTTAATCATACAATTTCAGAAATCAACGAATGCGCCTCTGATCCATGTCTTAACAAAGGGACCTGTTTCGACCGTGTGAACGGGTTCGAGTGCCTATGCGCCTCCGGTTGGCAAGGACCGCAGTGCCAGCTCAATACGGATGAATGTTCCGGGCGTCCGTGTGTCCATGCGCACACGTGCAAAGATTTACTCGGTGACTATCAGTGTTTATGCCAAGATGGATGGACCGGGAAAGATTGTAACATAAGTAAGTAATTAGTGGGTAAATATTTTCAAACTTTGATTTGAGACTAATGATAATGTCATGTAAAACGTAAAAATAACGCCCGGCAAGTGAATGCGTCCTACAAAATGGGCAATTTTTGTCATTGCACAATGTCCGAATGTTTTTGACATTCTGAAAGTACGACCACTACACTTTAATTGTTTTAAAATCACTCCGACACTGTACATAAAGGTAGCATGATGACTTTCAAGCCAATTTAATTAAAGACAGCTTCTAAATAATGCTTGACACAATAGGAAAAAAAGTATATCTGAAATTTAGTCAGATTGCTTTAGTTTTAAACGTTGGCGCCCCGAAATACATTATTTAAAGTACAAGTGAACACCTGAGTAGAACCACCGACCTGGAAAGTGTCCTCACATATAAAAAATCGAAAGCCACTGGCGGGATTAGAACCTACAGTTGCGAGGGTAAAGTGTATTGAACTCAGAAACCTGAGTATTGATTTTAAGATAAACATTGCATCTATGCCGAGGCGGGGAATGTAATTGTTCTACAGTTGAACAAATTAAATGTTTGAAGTATGCATGTAATTCAACTTTACTGTGTTTTTTATTATTTATTTCATAGTTATTTGTAGCTTTTAAAGCTCATTATATCAAATGCTTTGCACTTTGATAGGCAATCAGGAACTTTTGTATGTTAAGGTCAGAAATATTTTTGCAAGATATGTTATATGTTTATACCTTCTCCACATACACATGTTATTGTATGTATATGCTTTACACTGTCTTGTCATTTATCATGTGTCTGTTTATCCTCATGGGCCATTTGGTCCAATGGAATATTGAAATAAACTTATGTTTGTAAAATAGTTAATTTTATGTCGTTAAGTTTATTGCTTGTGTTAAACTATACATATTTTATGGAGTTTTATTCTGTATAAATCTATAAGAATATGGTTATAAAACACTCTAATGAATGCCTTTGAATACATGACCTAAAAACAAATATCTAGTTCAACTTGACTATTTCTTGGAATGAAATCTCTAAGTAAACATAGGTTAACGCAGGATTATAGAATTTACTTCTCCTTTTGGGCGGAGAAGATTATATCCTGAAGTACCTATTTGGTTCTAATTAAGAAAAATGTCAAGCTGAAATCTTTATCACATAATTATATGTAACAACCATCTTAGATATAATGATTGTAAGTGCAACAAGATGACTTTTTTTTACCTCGCGTGACGTAATTAATGTAAATATGGTGAATCCATTATCGTTGAAACAATCTTTCGGAAATGAATCTGAACATTGTCAGGTTCTGTTTGCAAAGAAAAAGGAAAATCACATTTGAGCCGTGTCACGACAAAATCAACATAGTGCGTTTGCGACCAGCCTGGATCCAGACCAGCCTGCGCATCCGCGCAGACTGCTCAGGATCCATGCTGTTTCTCTAATTGTTATATGGTTGGTAAGCGGATGCGCAGGCTGGTCTGGATCCATGCTGGTCGCAAACCCATTATGTTTGTTTTGTCGTGACACGGCTCATTTTGAGATTTAGATAAAATCTAAGTGCATTAGAATCTGTTATTACGTATATGAATATTTGTAAGACACATACACATATAGTCAACGAGGCGTTCTGTAAATTAGCAGACAAATGTAGCAGACGACAATATTGAGGAACACAAGCAGCAGATGTCATCATATATTAATTAAAATTTTGTTTTGTTAAATTTCAGACGTACAAGATTGCCACGGTCAGTGTCAAAATGGAGGACAGTGCATTGTAAGAATTTATTATGTTAATGAGATCTAACTTTTTTCCTGACTAAAAAAAGAAAATAAGAAAAATAACCTGTCTGATTTACCAAACGATAAAATATAAATATATCTACATGTAGCTAATTTGTCTATTTGCATGGTAAGTGCTTAATTAGTTTGAAAGATAAGTAAAATAAATATATTCCATAAGGCATTACTTGATGGAAAACGTAATAAAAACATAGTTTGGAACACATATACAGTACATGTTTAAACATCTTAATATGTTAGTTATAGATTCTTTTTCACGCGTTATTTCCTTTTGTAGATTTTCATTTTGTCCAAATAGTCCATGTATTTCTTTCTATTTTCAGGATCTAGTTGACGGTTATTACTGCTTGTGTATACCGGGTTTTGATGGTAAAGATTGTCAGCACGAGATTCACGAATGTGAAAGCATTCCCTGTCACAATGGTGGCACGTGCATTGACCATATAGCCAGTTACACGTGCCAGTGTGCAGAAGGTTACAGTGGCTTCAACTGCCAGGTGATATTATTTGAAAACAAAAATCTTTCAAATGTTACCGGCAATATACATGTATATATTTATCATACCTCAATTCTTAAATGTAAAACTCCCATAGCCGTTTTGTATAATGTGCCTTTATTGAAGACTGTCCTCATAAACAATATTCACAGGAGATATTTCTGATATCAACAATAAGATCCATGACTTTTACATAACTCATTATGTGTTTGTAGTATAATAAAAAAGATATTGACAAACCCATACATTTAATGAAGAAATGAAAACTATTCTGAATTTTTAATGGACCGTACTACATCTGAGTTGAGTTGTACATTAAATGATACATAAAACGTTTCACGTAATAATAATTGTTCTTGGCAAACTGTTTCAGAATGATATTGATCCGTGCAGTCCGAATCCGTGCTATAGCGGGGCCACGTGTTTCGTCACAAATGATATAACAGATGATTATTTCTGTTATTGCACCGATCCTTTCACAGGAAAAAATTGTCAGCACAGAAAATCCATCATAGCACAAAGTAAGTTTATAGCATAAATTATTGAGGGAAGGGACTATTGAGTAAATTTTCAAACAAATATTAAAACAACAAAACAAAACAAAAACACGACCCCTATTTTTCAGACATGGTGAAATTCTGTGTTCTTTCGGTTTCTTTTATAATATAAAAAAAATTCGTGCAAGTGTCAACCATAGAGTAAGGGTATTGCGTTCTGAATCGGATAAAGTGGACGTAAAGGCCCAAGAAGATAGTTTAATAAGATAAAATATAGTTTTTGAACTTATTCAAGATCAATTTTATGAATTTTTCGTTTATCATCTTTTGTTTTTCTATTGAAAATTAAAACACAAATCAATCATATCTAGTGAAAGAAATATTGTTGTTATTTATAGAAACATCTCGTTCAAACGCGCACGTGAGTAGCTTCTCACGAGACTGAGTTCTGAAGCCTGATTTAATTAATGCACAAAAAGCTTGAAGAGTGGCAATTAACCGGGTATTCATTACAAAAATATCAAAGATAATTACAATATATCTTACTATATTAAAGGGCAACATTAGAATTTTTTTATCGCATTTCAATGTCAGGTTAGAGAAATACTGTAACGTTCAATTAGTGACAAATCTGCTCAATATAATCAGATTATAAAATATTATCTCGTTTATTATACGTTTGTAGTTCCATTAATAGGCTTTCTTCAAGTTCAGAGGTATTCAAACTTATTAATGCCATCTGCGATAAGGTTAGGGTTAGCTACATATCAAATTCTGGATACTTCGATTATATATGTAATAGCGGACCAGTCTCCACACATTGCATTATGTTATTTCTGCATCAAAACATCATGCACTTTTAAAAGAAGTGCTTTGGTTTAATTAAATTAGAAATGCAGCCCATAGAAATTCAACATTTCTAATTTAGTCAGTCATGATTGGCTAGCTGGTAGGGAAATTCAAGGCAACTGTTCCAGTAAATTGGTTTAAAGGCCCCTTAAGCGAAGAAATCCTGTTTTTTTCCCTTAATTTTGTTATTGTATTCTGTTACAGTTTCCGAGATGGTACTAATAAATGCACCATGTTTTGTATTTTGGCCTTATTTATATCTGTATTGATGTAGTGTTTTGTATATATGGCATACAGTATATTCACTTTCTGAAACATCTTTAATTGATAACAAATGGATACATGCTAATCTAATATTACGTGGCATGCTGTCTGCACTTAACTGAAGATTTGGTTGCCACTGAGGATTTTGTCTTAACTGTGAGAATGGTCTTAACTTAGGATTTGGTCTTCTCTTCACCGAGGATTTGGTCTTAATTAAAGATTTGGTCTTGATGGAGGATTTGGTCTTAACTGAGTGTTTGATTTAGAATCGACTGAAAGGTATAATCGTTTTTTTCTCGTTTTCTGTTTAGATATAGACAGCTGCACACTGTCAATACCAAACAGTAACATGGTCGGTGGAATACAGTTGATATCATCAGGAATTTGCGGGGAACATGGACTGTGTACTAGTAGACCTGGAGGCAGATTTGATTGCTCGTGTGCAGTAGGCTTTACTGGACAGTACTGTCACGAAAGTAAGATGATTGTAATAAAAAACGTGTTGTCTCATAGACATTTTAAATGTTATTTAATTGATTACATCATTTGTTTACTACAAATTTGTTAAAATGAGAGTGATCAATATCAGATCTCGAAAGTAAATGTTTAAATATATTTATATTTTAGTCAATCTGTATCAAATTAATCATAAAACATATAAAAATACTGTGATAAAAATGGGCAAGTTTTTTTCACTTTATAAAAAGGTTGACTATAATATATCGTTTTTAAATAGCTAAATAGATATTGACTTTTTATCATTTTAGATATAAATGATTGTTCAAGTTCCCCGTGCTACAACTCCGGCACGTGTGTCGATCTAATCAACTCGTATCAATGTATATGTGGTGACGGCTGGGAAGGAGCTCTATGTAATATCAGTACGTATACTTTTTAAACTTTACGTCAATACTGACGTTGGTATTAAATCGTTAGAAGATATTTGTCCCGGGTTCGAGTTCAGATGAGACTGCACAATTTTCTCACCCTATGACACCAAAACTGTGCTTAAGAAACCTTTTGAAAATTTTCCTATCAGTAAAGATTTATTTCTTATCTAATTTTTCATTTCCCTCTAGTTTGATTGGATTACATATTAGCTAATTGAGGGACTCGCTGTGATTATTTTCAGATAAGAACGACTGTGATCCTAACCCTTGTCGTAACGATGGTAACTGCATTGACCTTGTTGCTGGATACGCCTGTCAATGTAAATCTGGCTGGAAAGGCAAAACTTGCACGTTGAGTAAGTACCGACGTTTGAACTATGATACCCTCCGTAATAATTATTGGTGACTGACACAATTTGGCGTGTGTATGTGTGTGTGTGCGAGCACGCGTGATTTTCTAATAGTGTTACACAAATATACGGAATTCTATAATTATAATAAAATTTTACAACAAAGTTGAACTTTAAATTTTGATATTTGGAAGAAAACTGATACATTTGTAATTACTATACAGTCTCATGAAAATAAACTCTACACACTACAGGTGATCACAGTATGATTACATACTATCATAAAAACTGGCAGTTTTCATTAGAATTGACCAAATTAATTATAGAATGCAGCTTCCCAACTTTAATTTATACATTCACTTTGTTCAAAAAAACATATTCAGGAAGAATGTACTAGATTTCAATAAATTTCTGCAAAAAAATATTTTACCCAATGATGAGCATAGAATATCTTTAATTAAATATAACTAAATAAGCTTTGAAGATGGTAATGTTTCCTGTAAGTGACAATGCACGTGTTATTTTACAGGAGATAGCCAGTGTGATATATTCACGTGCGCAAATGGAGGGCGATGTGTGGATCTGGGTGATACTTTCACGTGTAAATGTCCACGTGGCTGGGAGGGCCACACTTGTCACACACGTAAGCTTAACATACAAATACTTTTTTTATTATCATCATGATCATCTTTATAGTTTGTCTTAAGCTTTGAAAATGACTATCACTGTAGTGGCACTACTTATAGTTGTGTGGTTAAATTTTTAATGTTCCATATTACGTATCAAACATACTGTCATAACGCCTGAATCTGTTTCAATTATTGACGAGCATTAAAATGTAATAAAAATTTAGCCAATTTCATAAAAACGTTCTTTTTCTATTTGTAGATTCTTTTTCTAAATATTATTTTAATATTTTAAGCGGTTGCAAGATCATGTGACATAAGCCCTTGTGAAAATAATAGCACGTGCGTTAACAGTGGTGACAGTTTCACGTGCATCTGCAGCCTCGGTTTCGAGGGAAGAACGTGTCAAGAAAACATTGATGAGTGTAACCCATTTCCATGGTAAGTGAATAAATCACCATTCTTATCTCAATTCTGTCATGCTTAATTCTCAGTATTTCTGTATTCAAACATTCATTAATTTAATGTTCTCATTCCATGCTGTTTAATGTATCAGTTTAACTTCTAATTTGAAGTCATAATGACGACATTTATCAACACGACGCCGAGAAAACTACTTAATATCTAATAAGGACCTTCAATTAAACTTACGATAATCCTTCTTGTAAAAACCAAGTTTCCTGTCACGTTTCTGCCCACTATTCTGCCATAATCTGAACTAATATCGAAAAGTCTTCATGTTTTTTTTCTTCAGTTATAATGGCGGGAAATGTGTTGATGGTATTAACAGGTATACATGTGACTGCCCTGCAGGATTCTCCGGACCTGATTGTCGCGTCAGTGAGTAAATCATGCAATGTTACTCCTAGTTTCCTAAATTCAGCACCTTGCATGTAACGCATGTTTCAAAATATTATTTCTCGTTTATTAAGATTTAATATATGGCTTGAGGATTTGAAACTTGAGTATATAATTGTGTCTCATTTCGAACATGAACATGGAATGTAATCATTATTCAAAGAAGAACATGGAAAGGTAATTACGTTTTGTTTACGACTAAATGTCGTTGAAACAAAGAATTTGTACAGCTTTTAAGCCATATATTAATATGCCTAGATAACCCAATTTCAAAGTCTTGTATACATTTCAGATATAAATGAATGCCTATCAAACCCGTGCACGTTCGGGAGCACGTGCATAGACGGGATTGGAGTGTTTAAATGTATATGTCCAGTTGGACGGTCGGGTGACAGATGTGAGATGGTCAGAGGCCACGAGCCCGCACTCCAGTCTTGTGTGTTCAACAGGCGGACGTTCCGGTCTGGGAAATCATGGAGGCACGCTTGTAAACTATACTCGTGTGATGATGGAGAAATTTCATTCGAGGAAGTAAGTCGAAATATTTTTTAATGTATTTCTTACCCAAAACAGAAACAATATACACAAAACGGACACAATTCAGGAGCTTACATAAATATTCTAAAAAGGAAATAACAACACTATAAAAGGCGAAATGGGGTAAAGTAATATTTTCTGCAATAAAGCATAATGTAACATTTTCTCCAATACAGCATATTATAGTATACTATTGTGTGGTAAGGTAACATAAATAAGGTAATTGTGACGAATACGAATTAACGAAGCCATCACATACATGCATTATTGTATCATAATATATCACGAGCTCAGAATGTCATCGTTTCCGTAATGACTCTGATAAATGTTTCATTTCTGAAGCTTGATGTCACGATAAAGCATAATAAAAGTAAAATCTGTTGTTTATTTGTTTATTTAGGATCTTAAGTGTGTATTTATAGATAGTAAAATATGATTTTCCTCAATGTTAATTTGATTTTAGCTTAAATGTGGTCCCGAAAACTGCGCATCAATTCCAAATATTACCAGTCACGTGATTCCATGTGCTGCAGACGAGATTTGTGTCATACAGAAGCACGTCACGTGTCTGACACCACCATGTTTACCTTGGGGAGATTGTCAGCCCAAGAGTAACACCTTAGCTTCCTCTGTCCCGAAAGAACACTTCTGTTATGGAATTGATAGAAAGATGGAGGCAAATTGTGCGAAGATAACACTTGTCTATGATTACTCGAAGCTTCCTATTGTAAGTACAAGAGCTTTAGTAATATTGTTCAAATTTATTAAGATATATATACACGTCATATGACGTCATTTATGACACTGTTCGAACACATAATGTTATTTTGATCAATACGCTAGCACCTCAAAAACAATAATTATGAACATTTTAAACTTTATATGTTATGCTATTATTATACTTGGCTACTGTTAATAACAACGCGCTCGTAAAAGCAGCAATGTCCGGCGTAACGTTAGCTAATATCTAAAGAAGAAACGCTCCATGTCCTCATCTAGCTGTAAGCCCTTGACTCTCTATGTGTTGAACTGTCTGTTACAGGGAACATCAGTTGAAAGCATGTGTATATCCATTGAAAGGATCGCCTCCTCTAAACAATGGAACAATTCAACAGTCATCACTGTGGCTTGTAGTGAACATTCCAGTGAAAATTTATTACATGTACTGGTGGTAAGATTCACAAATTATGTACGTTTTTTGTCGATGTAAAATTTTCTTTGAAAAATTCGTTCGTCTCTTTTTAACTGTCTTTAAATTTATCATGAATTTTCCATATACATGTGTTTTGATTTTGAACAAATTTTGATTGCATTTTATGCATACGATGTGCTTTTAAATAAGGATATGTTAACATTATATTTGTTAACATTTTGCCCTCTACCTTTCACTAACAATTTCAAATCTTGACAGATTATCCTCATTACTTTTTGCTCCTGACAAAAAGTCCGTCCTGCTTTCCTGAGACCAGAATGAATGCTTTCTTTGCTAATATTCTTCTTTTCAAAAAGTCTTTATAATATATAGCGTTGTCTTTGTACTTATATTCTGCTTATTCTGTTATCGAAGACGTGCTCTATTTGATCTATATTCAGATTTCCTTATTATTGAACCGTGCTTTCTTTGCTTTTATCCTGTTTTCCTGATTTTTATTATATGCACTCTGTTGTTATTTCATGCATTTCTCTTTATCGATATCATGCTCTCTTTGTGTATATCCTGTTCTACTTAACAGGATATACATATATATAACAGGATATATTGATTGAATACTTTCTTTGCTTAAATGATTCTTTTCAAAAGTCCATATTATTTATATTCTTATGTTCGATCCAAAATTCTGCTCTTCTTATTACTAGTAGTGTGCTCTCCTCTTTCCTTATGATATTATTGATAACGTGCTCTCTTTTTTATTATAACATACTCTTTTCGTACTCTTTTTTTTATATTCTGTTTTTTTTCAAATTCTTGATAACGCGCGTTCTTAAATTATTCACTGCTCTTTGATGAAATCTGCTTTCCTTATCAATGACTGTGTGCTCTCTTTATAAAGCTCATACCTGTCAAGATTTTGTGCTATCAAGTTTTCTGATGCTATCATATATTTCCTAATATATTATTCTCTATTCTTTCATGACATTCAACAATCTCCATTACGAATGTACATGTATATACGTCTTTCATGCTTAAATGTTATTATTAAAATAACCGTTACTTCTTTATATTAGTCAATAGATCATGATGATGGCAAACACTTCGAGACAACTCTTAGAGCGTTTGTCTACAAAATAACTGACGTCATCAGTAGCAAGCAGAATCCAAACCCGTCGCTGGCTGCGATAACAGAGGTGATAGTTGAGACACCATTGCCCTCTAGTGACAATAAAGGTCTTTTTCTATTTATATCTCTTTTTATTATTTGATCAAACATTGTAAATAATCATTGTTCCTCATGAATAAAATAAAATAAAGTGTCAAGAAAACATCTTTATTAGTTTTAATTCTGACTTATGCTAAACGCACTGTATTCTTCATAACAAAGACTTTAATTTGGATATGTATAATATGTTGAAACATTCACCATTCTACTGATTCCAGCTCAAATTTCTATTAACTATTATTACCTTTAAATATATGAAATGGGTAGGTCTATTTTGATATCAAATGTTTATTCCTTTATTGCAGACGCAAAGTTGCTGATACCATTACTTTGTTCATTAATCGGACTGCTTGGATGCGTGGCGATTGTTCTGCTTGTTGTCTGGCACCGTAGGCAAAGTCAGGACATCCGTCGATGGACTAAGGCACCAGAACTCACAGAAGAAAGGACAAATAATGAAAACTTCGAAAACTTCAAGAACTTGAGGCGGTATAAAAATCCTCTTTATGAAAAAGATAAAATGGTGGGAAATCGCAACATCCGACCAAAACAGTACCGGGACTTTGATAGCTACAGACCCTTAGAGCCAGACATAGATGGTCAGGATATGGGAAACACGCGGCTGCTGAAACAAGACGACTTTGTTCCAGGCGCCAATGATTGGTCAGAATGCGTCCAATCAAAAACAAGAGTTAAAGATATTAACATTGAGCTGCAGAAGTCTAGGTATAAACCTAACGCGAGCGCGTTTGGTAACCTTGTGCATGGTATTGAACTAGATGAGAACGAGGTGATAGTTTAGTAAGATAAAAGCTTTATGAACTACTGGACGAATGTCACAGAGTGGTTTGTCAGCTCTGAGACACGACATTTGGAGTGGCTTCAAAACACATTACGATGTGAAAATTGAAAACAAATATTACATTAACTAGGATGTTGAAACTGTTTAAAAGATGTCAATCCTTTTTTAAACTAGTAATATTTTACTGAAAGCAGAGTTTTCCGTTTCCTGTGACGGAGTTGTTCTACGATAAATGGATTCTTAGTTGATATAGGGGTTTAGTTTGGCTGATATGTGACCTAATTGATTGTTAAATGATATTTACTAATGGTTTCCGATATGGATGGCTATTTATTAATTGATAAATGTTAGTTCTGTTATATGAAATTCGCCATAAATTGTACGAGAAAGCAATAGAAACTTGACAATATTGGAAGCTGAATAACTCTTTAAATGATTCTGATTGTTCGATATAAAAAGTAACCTGCTAATGTTAGATACTTACTTACGTCAATGTCCTAGCAATGTTGATAAACAGGCGTTATACCATGAGAATATTGTGGAATGTCTTCAGGACAAAACAGTTCAACGATTAAAGACGTAAACTTCAGTTTTCAAATATAGATATAGGCAGACTGAAATATGTTCCATATTTTTTTATAAACTGCAAGAGCAAAAGAAACATTGATGCAAAATGCTTGATTGGTGAGCTGAAATTTAAGGATGTTTCAAAGATTTTGAAATGAAATTGCAAGAATGTTCAAGAAATGTACAGCATTCTTTTATCAAAAGATTGTAGTTTTTTTTAAACAATACGTCCCACTAGAATTTTTGTTGCAGTCCCATTTTTTGTAGTTCGTTTCATTTTATTTACATAATTTGTTGTATATATGTGCATTATTTCATAACTTATTCACTAAATTAAAATCAATAAAGAATAATATGTGTTTAGTTTTATTATATTACCTTATTTTAGATATATCCAAGGCATACATATTACTAGACGTTTTAACTCATGTCAAGTAAATTTTTGTTTATGAATGCGAGAAAGAGAAAAAGAATGGATTTGCGCATGGTGCTCAAAAGCATTTTCTTCAATTTTGTAATCTTTTTACAAAATTAAAACGATCAGATGGGAAAGTTAACATTTCATTACAAATATTGATAGTAGATGTATACGCAAAATTCATTATAAAGAAATATAAAAATATACAGACCACGTGTTGCGCATGTAAAGGTATATGTGTGACAATTCAGACAACAATACAATGATTGCAGAAGAAGACATAACCGGATGTTTCTGCGGGTCAGACAATATGATTTGATGCTAAACAAAAATCCATTAGCTTTTAGCATTGACTCCGTGTTAGATAATGATATTCCGTGTTGAATGAACGCGCCACAAAATGAAATATGATACCGGAAATAAATGATGTGACGTGGTTTTACAATGATCTTAATTTGTGATATAAAACAACAATTTGTTATTCACAATGTTTTCAAATTATAATCCCTATGTGTCAAGAATATAAAAAAGAAGAAGGACAACTTACGTCAGAGCAAGATACTTAAATAACAGAAGATATTGTTTCCTAAGATATGTAAAAAAGTTATAAAAATGTGGCACGGAAATCAGAAAGATGGCGGCCGTATACTTTGGGGTTGCATAATAACTATTTCAAAACATTAATTGCCTTCTGCATGATCAAATGTGGGCAGAAATATGCCACCAACATTTTCGCGGTTCTAATGTACGTGACTTTTCTTATCTGCACGGGGCAGAAAACCAATACAAGTAACGGTCCAGCTTGTCATTTTACCTACGATGACGCGAAGAGCCCGCACACTTTAGTCAGTTACCTACCGTATACATAGAATGTTTCTTTGGAGAAAATTCAGTTTATTTGTTTCGTAAAGTGAAACAGCGTGAATTTCGTCAATATTCAAACATGCGGCTTCACTTAATGTAACAACAATCAGACTTTTTATTAGATATAATAAGAATTTGTATTTGTTTCTCTAGAATAAGCGGGCTCTAATTTTATCTAATAAAAACAAGGAAATGTTTTTTTTAAAAAGTATTGAAGAGAAAATACTACCTGAACCATCTTTAGTATTCCTTTACTGACCTACATTGATCATTAAACATGATATTGGCACCACGAGTTTTAGAAAAGCAAAACTTTCAGTTATTGGGACTTGTTACCGCTCTAGACACTTAAAGAGAGTCAATTCAGTTTAGAAAACACGTGTTGACCCGCCACAATGTTAAGGTTTTATGCAATATACCTATAGATTTTAGAATAGAATTTAACCAACATGTTTACAGTTTAAATAGACGATACAGCATTTCCTTGTTGTCAGTGGGATAATCTTTTATAACAGCTATTTCTGCGTATATTTCATAAATTCATGAGTTTTTAAGGTGTAACCAGAAAACGTCTTGCAGTGTAACTCATCATTGAAAATGAATATATACAAGAGGTAGGACCTTATTCATGTAGCTTGGTGCTTAAAGCAAAAACGTTTTGTTTTCTTTTAACTTATTGCTATGTAATTGAAAATGGATGATGGAAATAGCAAAGATGTATCTAAAGACAGAGAAGACAATGGGGTTATATTTAGAGGTTAAAATTCCTGCTGTCTTCAAGTACATAAAACAGTTAAATCTGAAGTCATCTAGGCATGTTTCATGGTCATAATTGGCTTGGGGACAGTTATTGGTTTAATGGCTTTGTTGATATAGATTATGTCACCAATACTTAAAATGTTGTGTGCAAGTGATTACAGTTCATTCAACGACTGCAGCTATCTTGAAAGTCAGTGCGCTTTACTGAGTGTAAATGTTTAAATTGCGTGTGTGTTTGTGCTTATTTACTGACAGTATCATTCTAATTGTGCAAAATGATTTGTATAGCTCAAAAACCGAAGCAAATTACTTACAGCTGATATAAAAATGCGACACCTTCTTTGGCTACGATTCAATAACTTGTTTGTAACATACCTTTTCGTCTTTCTAAATGTAGCTTCAGTTTGTAAACATATTTGGCTAAGTACTGGTCGCGTACGTTGTACAAATATTCCCAGAAAATCCACATACCTGTTGATATTTCGACCAAAATGACAACGACGATGACTACAATGACGATAATGAAGTTGACAACAACGTCAATGAAAACGAAAAAAACAACAAAACAACAAAACATTAACAACAACAACAACATCATCATCATCATCAACAGCAGCAGCAGCAGCAGCAGCAGCAGCAGCAGCAGCAGCAGCAGCAGCAGCAGCAGCAGCAATTACAACACAATATCATCAATAATAATACTATACTGTTCAATATTTTTATTTAAAACTTTTATAACATGTATTTTTGTCTTTTAAAATCAATGATTGAAAATTACTATCCTGAGTTTGTTTAAGACTTATAATATAGAAACCTTTTTATGCCCACTGACATTCAACTTTCTGCTATTAAGTAAGCGCTTAAGTTTCTTTGGCACAGCAGGTAAATACCTTCAAATATATACTGTCATACACGCAAAATTTCATGCTACTGTATTACAAAACAACTTTTTTGTTGCCTAGGAAATTAAAGTTTATATCAGCCGCATCACGAACAGTTGATGTTTAGGAAAATTATCAATATCTCACGATAATACATTCCCATTAAAGGAAGGTGGGTATTTGGGTATTATTTTAGCGTGATTTTTACAAATCAGGGTTTGAAATCACAAACGCATCTATTTAAGGCATTTGATGAAAGGTAAAGAATATTTTTTTTAATATTGATGTATTTGTATTTATTCACTAAGACTAAAACTGGTTTGAATCAACTGTAATGGTCATTTTCTAGAAGCAATTTCAGTATTAGCCTTAAAACCTAAAGAAACCAATAGTCACAAAAATCCTTAGCTGAATCGGTTTAAGGTTTAATTATACCGTTATGCCTCATACCACTAGTTCATATATAAAGATGGTAATGACTGCAGCTTCCGAGACTTTCTCTATTTTATTATTCTCTCTATCTTTCTATATTGTAATTGACTTTTCTCGATAAAAGTTTTATCTGTACATAAAGGCAATGTTTTCATTCAGAGGACATATTTGTTCGTTAAGTTTTCTGTTCATGCATGACTGTGAAAGACTCTCGGAAAAAACCACCTCTGTAAGATTACACCACATTTGAAGATGGATTCGCAGTAAACTCTATTTCAATAGGTGATAATTTATTCTTTGACAAAGCCATTGGTGAATTCAAATATTCCCCTAGAAAGAAAGTTGTACAGTTCATGTTACATGATACAGCTGGGATAGAACAGAAAAACATAGTTCTCTTATCATTTATTCTATCACAAGGAAGCATCATGCAGGAGTGGTTAAGTTCACATTATCTAAAACTGAAGAAGTGTTTGCAGCCGATGCCTAATTTGTATAAATGAAAAAAGGAAATAAAACATAACTGTAGAATACAATGATACACATTTGATGCACCATTCAATGTTTCAAGTGACAAGAATGATCAGGTGAGAGGAAAGGAAATAGCTGCAGCTACAGGCTATACGAACACTCAGATCCAATAAAATAGCCAGAATGATAAGACATTAAAAGTTCTGAATGGTCAACATCAAGTAAAGCTGAATTTATTTATGATACTTTTAATAAAAATGAAATAGGAACTGCTAAATAATGAGCAATATGGTGTTCAGAACTGAAATAGCAACTAGCTCCGTGAATTATAAAATATTTTGAAGTTCAGACTTGAAAAATTGAATATGTGATATTCAGGTGATAACATGAAATATCAGCAATGACTGTGTGAACAATCAGATAAAACATTAGAAAGAACGTCAGGGGCATAATCTGTGAAGGCAGAATATTCAGGTATAATAATTATGATCCTATTTATTTTGTAACTTTTGGAATTTATACGCAAATTATGTATATAATGCTAACGATTTCCGTCCCGTCCAACCGTCTACACTTTGTGACCGGTCCATAACTTTTACTTATATGGATGGATTTTGAAATATTTTTTATTTGTAAAAGTGCATTGATAATCGTTTCTGGTAAACAAGTCTGTTCCTCCTGAATGAATTTTATAAATACTTTGATTAAAATTGTTTAACAATATAAGGATGTGTTGTACAAAGTCAGACCTCTAGCTCAAAGTCATGATAAGTAATTTTCATATAAGTGCAATCAATAATTCTGTCATTCTTTGACGACACTGTGGTGTGTTGCACATAAGAGTCAGGTATCCAGATCAACGGTCAGGATCACACTTGTACATCAAATGGCATGAATGTGAATATATGTTTTTCTTTTGTGTGTTACTAAATAAAGGGTACATTATACATGTATATATACAATTATTCCTGGATGGATTTTTAAATAATTATGCATTAATATGCTGTTTGTTAGACACCTTGTGAGATCCGGTAAGCAGCACTTAGGTAAAGTGTTAATGCTTGCATGACAAAAGTGATAAAATGATTGATAGTCTTGTCCGTCCATATCTTTGTCTTTTATTTACAATTTACAATTTATAATTACTTGGCTTAAGAAATAACATGGTAATATAAAACAATTTGTGACGAATGAGAGCTAGATTGAAGCTTACAGATCAAGGCTACGCTAAGACTTCTCAGGTAAAACATAACAGCACATTGGAGGTCCTGTCTGGTCGTCAGTTATGTCATTCTTGGATTGCTTTTGAAATAACAATGTATAAATCCATAGCACATTAGGAAGACTAGACTGGTGTAGATGCCAGGTCGACACATAGAAAGTTGAAGGTTTTATATAGTCCTATAGAGCTAGGACATTGATTGTGCGTCTGGTCATGTTTTCGTTAATGAA